CTGGCCAGGAGATCACCAGGAAACAAACTCCTAATTGATCATAGGCCAGATCAGTTGGAATCCCCAATGCTGCCTCTTGGCAGCGGTCCAGACATCTCTGTAATTGGCTTGTTAACATAATATCCAGCCAGCAGCAGTGACATGATGTGTTGTGTAAAATGGTTTTTACTCTTTTGTCTTTTTTGAGGGGCCTACCATACAGCTCCCAAATAAATCACACACAGAGGCTTATTGTTAGTTATGAATGCCCAGCCTTAGCTTGGCTTGTTTTTTGCCAGCTTTTCTTAATGTAAATTATCCCATCTATCTATTGCCTCTGGGCTTTTATCTTTCTCCTCTGTAAATCTTACTTTCCATCTTACTCCGTGGCTGGGTGGCTGGCCCCTGATGCCTTCCTCTTCTTGTTCTCTTGAGCATGTACTCAAAGGACACTTCATCCTACCACAAACACACTTGCTCCACCGTGTTCATTGCTACTGTATTCATAATAGCCAGAAACTGCAAACAACATAGATATTCTTCAACAGAAGAATGGATAAAGAAAATGTGATACATTTACTCAATGGAGTATTAGCTGTTAGGAAAAAAAAAGACATCATGAAATTGCAGACAAATAGATGGAACTAGGAAAAATCATCCTGGGTGATCCAGACCCTAAAAGACAAGCATGATATGTATTCGTTTATATGTAGATATTAGCTGTTAAGACCCTAATAACCAAGCTACAACCCATAGCACCACATAGGGTACATAGAGAGTATGGAACTAGAGGGAATAAATATATCTTATTAGGAAAGGGCAGTAGAATAGAGATTTAAAGATGAATTAGGGGGTTTGTGGCATGGGAGAAGTGGTAGTAGGAGGGGATATAGAGAAACAGCTAAAATTAAGGGGTGTTTGTGGTATAGTATGGGAAGCTAATACAATAGAAACTGCTTAAAAATATATACAAATGAAGGCAATCTAAACGAATTACCAAACAATAGGAGTGAGAGTCCCAGTTGGTCATCTCTTATTACCAAATTAAGTTTTCAGTACAGTATTGGGTTACATCTAATTGAGTTGTCTAAGGGGACTTTACAGGAATCCCCAAACAACCCAGGCTATTGCTAAGACAATAGGTTGCTCTCCACAGTCTGACAGCAAAGCCTTGTTGCTGAAGACAACACAACTCATTGAAGATGGACATGTCTAGGTGCTGCTACCTACATAGAGCCTTTACCCCTACTTTCCAGCATCTTTGCTATAGGAAGGTACTCTGTACACTATCAAAAAATGTAAACAACAAGCCAGCACACACATTTTGTCTACAATAGTCTGCTGTCTGCAAGATAGGCTAGGGTAAATATGGCACAAAGCTTGTGGGAGTACTAACCACTAACTGACCAGGCTCGAGGCCTACTCCATGAGATGGAAGCCATACCTAGCACTGCTTGGGTGACCAAGAACCTGAGACTAGATAACCCAGGGTTCTAGGACAAACCATATAATACTGGTCTAAAAAAAAAAAAAAAAAAAAAAAAAAAAAAAAAAAAAAAAAAAAAACGTAGTGACAAAATGACTCATAATGACATTCTGCTATACTCATAGATCAGTACCTTATTCGGCCAGCATCAGAGAAACTTCTTCCAGCAGATGGTGTTAGACCCCCGGAAAACTCAGGTATTCGGGGTCCCAGGCCATGACTGCGGTCACCCCAATCACCAGGCGGATTAGAGAGCTTGCTGCAAACTGCACGAGGCTTTATTGTAATTTAACGAGCTAACCCCATGTTAGCTCGGGTCTTTCACCCACCCGCCATGGTGGATGGCTAGCAAAAGACAGCTCCTAGGGGCTCCCAAGAGCTCTTATAGGACAGCGTAAGGGGAGTGTCTAGGAGTACGCACAGGCCCACGATTGGTGTGCCTCCAGCCTTGGAGGGCTTGCCCTGTGTTGATTGGCCAATTGGTTGTTATGACCCATAGGCCCTCCCAGGGTGGTTGCTATGCTTTGTGCTCATTGCTGTACGCTTGTCCGTAAAGCACACCCAGAGTCGTAAAGCATAGCGCCACCAGCTAACTTCTCATTGGTTCCTTGTCACGAGGCATCTGACTTTCTTGTGACTAACTAACTTCTGATTGGTTCCTTGTCACGAGGCAGGCATCTGATTTTCTAGTGACTAACTTCTGATTGGTTTCTTGTCACGAGGCAGGCATCTGACTTTCTAATGTCTAGAACAAGGTCATAGAAGCACATGTTGGGCCGTTATGACTGCCAAAAGGGAAGCTGGTCCCTTCAATGGGAACAAACAGAGACCCAAGCCAGACATTTTTGGGTGTTGTATTTTGTTTTCTCAGTTTTGCTGCATTTGGTTTCTGGTTTTTGTTTGTTTGTTTGTTTGTTTGTTTTTGTTTTTGAGAAGAAACTTAAAGTTGGGAGGTAGTGTGGAGGAGAGGATATGGAAGGATGGGATGGCAGGGCGAATCAGACCAAAATATATTCACATTTTTTGTTTTTGAGGCAGGGTTTCTTTCTTTGTGTAACAGCCCTGGCTGTCCTGGAACTCGCTTTGTAGACCAGGCTGGCCTTGAACTCACAGAGATTCACCTGCTTCTGCCTTTCATGTGCTAGGATTAAAGGCGAGCACTACCACTGACTGGCCCTTAAATTTAAAATGTATTTTCTGGCCAGGTGTTGGTGGCACATGCCTTTAATCCCAGTACTCAGGAGGCAGAGGCAGGCGGATCTCTGTGAGTTCGAGGCTAGCCTGGTCTCCAGAGCAAGTGCCAGGATAGGCTCCAAAGCTACACAGAGAAACCCTGTCTCGAAAAATCAAAAATAAATAAATAAAATGTATTTTTAAATTTATTCTTTAGACTGAAGCCTCTCTTCCCTCCACTCCTCCAGTTCCCCTCTCCCCCATATCTATCCATCTCCCTAAGAAAACAGGCCTCCCAGGGACATCAACTACACACGGCATAACAAGATACAATAAGATCCAGCACAAAACCTCATATCAAGGCTGGGTGTCATGGCCCAGCTTGCCTCAGCTTTAACCCACGACAGCCATGAGGTTCTACCTGAGTGGGGGTGTGTGGACTTGGAAGCTTCTAGTAACCCAACGCTGATAAAGACCAAACACAGGCATCTTGTCATCTTCAGAGAGCTCTCAGTTCCATGTTGTGGAACTAGAGCCATTCCTTTATTAAATATCTTTTCTGGTGTCCCTTAACCACCATGCTAGTACCACGAGGCAACCATTTCTCTCTTTGTCCTCCTGTCTCCCTCTGGCCTTCTTCGTTCCTCTCCTTCTGTCCTCATCCATTACTCACTCATCTCTAGCCCTCCACCCAGGTGAGGGCCTATTCAGATGCTTAGGCCCATACAGATGCAAAATAAGAGGCATATTACCCTCAGGCCAGGTAAAGTTACTGCCTGATGTTAATTAACAATACAATAGTGGGCTGGAGTTTCCTGGCGCCACCGCTGCTGACAGCCAGAACCTGGGACCCCACATAATCGGTCCCCCACAGCTGGGCGAGGCAACCCAGTAGGAGGATGGTAGTATGGAAGGATGGCAGGCTCTGTGATTGCCACTTCAGTCTCTGTGAGCCCTGCTTATTTGATTCCACAGGCATACTCTCCCAGTGTCCTCAACCCCTGTGGCCCTGACATTCCTCAAATCTCTGAGCTCTGAGGAGAGGGTCCTGATGGAGATCTCCAACCTGGGCTCTGTCTCCACCTAATGTTTGGTTGTGGGTCTCTGTATCTGATCCCATTAGCTGCCAGAGGCAGCCTCTCTGATGAGGACTGGACTAGGCAGGGATCTAAGAGGACAGCAGAATATCATTAGGAACCACTTCATTGATGTTTTATTTTGTTTTGTTTTGGTTGTATCCTAGGTCTTTGGGCTATCCAATCTCTGGTTCCTGGTCATCCAGGCAGTGGGGGGCATGGGTTCCCTCTTGGCATGGTCATAAAATTAGACCAGTCATTGGTTGTCCATTCCCACAAGGTCTGTGCCACCATTGCCCCAGCACATCTTGCAGGGAGGGCAGATTGTAGATAAAAGGTTTTGTAGCTAAGTTGATGTCCTGGTCCCACCACTAGAAGCCTTGCCTGATGTCTTAGTTAGGGTTTCTCTTGCTGTGATGAAATACCATGACTGGAAAGCAAGCTGAGGAGGAAAATGTCTATTTGGGTTACACTTCTTTATCACTGTTCATCATTGAAAGAAGTCAGGATAGGAACTCAGAGCAGAAACCTGGAGGCAGGAGCTTATGCAGAGGCCATGGAGGAGTGCTGCTAACTGGCTTGCTCAGCTTCCTTCCTTCCTTCCTTCCTTCCTTCCTTCCTTCCTTCCTTCCTTCCTTCCTTCCTTCTTTATTCTTCTCTCATACAATACACCCTGACCACAGCCTCCCCTCCCTGCACTCCACCCCGCCTCCATTGTTCCTCCTTTTCCTTTCAAAAAAAGAGCAGCCTGTTTTGTTATAGAAGCCAGGACCACAGGCCCAGAGGTGGCCCCACCTACAGTGAACTGGGCCCTCCCCATCAATCATTAATTAAGACAATGCCCTACAGCTGGGTCTTATGGAGGCATTTTCTTAGCTGAGGTTTCCTCTTTTAGCTAACACTAGTTTGTGTGTCAAGTTGACGAAAAGCAGCCAGCATAGCTGGCTACAGAAGACGGGCAGTTCAGGCTCTGGATCCTTTCTTACTAGGAGTCCTCACTAGGCTCACTTCATAGATTCCAGGGAGTTTCACTGCACTAGGTTTCCACACCCTCTCCTTGCCCTCCAATTCAGTCATCGCTCTCGCTTTTGAATAATAAAAATATAATAAAAAGAAACAAATCAAAAAGGCATGTCTGGTAACTTAATATTTAAATATTCTAATTTTATTTGCTGCTCACTGAGTGCAGTTCTCCTTCACGCAGGGTGGTGGCTGCTCCTACTCTGTCCTGTCCCCAGGTGTGGGCGGGCAGTGGCTTGCCCCTCTGCCAGTCCTGGTACTTAGGGCTAGATTAGTTTCCCCAGGAGTTGTCTGATTCTCCTGCTTTTCTGAAACTTTCGTTTTTTCTTGAGATGAGTTCCTGTTAGGGAAGAGATTTTCATGAGTAATTATGAGTATCCAGCTGATTGTTGCCACAGCCTGTAGTCTCTCTTATCAGTGGCACTGGATGGGATTCAGGAGTTACCTGTAACTTCAGGTGCTCTCCAGGTACAAACGGGCACAGCCATGGCTGGAAATCATGGAGGCAGGAGCATTAGGCATTGGTAGGACTGCATTCACAGCCAGGAAGCAGAGAGACATGCATGCTGGTGTTCAGCCCACTTTCTCTTCTTTAAAAATTGCGAGAGAATGAATGCATGCGTGCGTGCGTGTGTGCACCCGCATGTACACAACTCAAGCATTCCTTTTCAGCATGTGGGTTCCAGCGACAGAAGTCAGGTTGCCAGTTTGGCAGCAAGTACCATTACCTGCCAGGCAGTCTCAATGGCCCTTCTCCTTGTCTAGTCCAGGAACCCTGCCCTTGGAATGATATCATAGCTTTTGCTTACCAATAGCTCTTCGAATAGTGTCAATGATTTTCTCCAGAGCTTCAAGGCTTTTCATCTGAAAAAGTGTTTCTTTCTCATCATCTGTGGAAACAGTCAAGGGCAATGGATAGACCCCACAATTATTGTTTAACTGCAAGCTTTTTGAAACCAGGCTACCAGGGTCTCAAAATACAGAGTGAACATATACCATATGTACATGCTTGTGACCTGCTGCCCTGTTACCACCAGGAGAGCCTATTCAGTCTAAATTCATGAAGAAACAAGAAAATTCAAATAGTCATAGTCATTCGCCATCAAACAAATGAAGCTGCAGGGCCAGATGAAATGTTTTACAATCTTGGAGGCAGGAGAATTCTCATAAACTCAAACTGAGAGCCAGCAAACTGAGAGCCATTCTGCAGAGGAACTGGCCAGTGTTCTTTGAGGTCATTAAAGACACAGTGGAAGAAGCAGCAGCTATATTGGGGACATTGAGGCATTAGAGGGCTGCTGATGTTTGCATATGCTGTGTGCATGTGAACCAAAGTTCCCAGGAAGAAGCCATGCCTTGTATCAACCCTCTGCAAAGCAGGTTGATTGACAGAACTGCAGTGGTCGTGGAGAGGTTAGAATGTTGCAAGTCTAATTACAATCTATGTGGGCAGACTTTTGCCTCTTCATGGCCATTCCTTGCCCACCATAGTGTCTGACTAACATCCTTGCAACCATTAGGTAAAACCTTCTGGAGTGTACAAACAGACCCTTAGCTTCCGATGATCCAAAAGCTAAGAATGTCCTCAAATAGTGTTGAGGCTTGTAGCACAGACTTCTTGCTTGTCTGTACTGCCAACCTGGTTTCCATCAATGTATTTTAACAGTGTCTTGATGTATAACTTCCTTTGTACTATTACTGTAAAAAAACTTAGTGAAACTGTTTGAACATGGGATTTGGGGTGACCTGGATCTGTGCTCCTGGACTGTGGTCACTTATATTTGGTTTCAGAATGAACTCTCTTGTGCCCCATGAAGTGAGCAAAACCTGGGATTTTGTCATTGTTCATTTGTTTCTATTGTAGCTAATGTTCATGGCTTATTTAAGAGCTTTGCAGAAATGAATGTCCCCACCCTGATTACCAGCCAGTGACCTTGAAGTGCTGGGAAATGAATTTACAAGCTCTTGGGACACTTCTGTTTTGTTTTGTTTTGTTTTGTTTTGTTTTGTTTTGTAAGCTTAAAATAATGTCACAATGGATGCTATTTTAAGCGCCTTGCTCTCCTTTTTTAACCTGGCCTGGGTTTTTCCTGATCCTTGTTCCCTAGGCGACACCTACATACTTATGACCATATAACAGCCCACTTCTCCTCCCAGGCAGACAAACACAGACCTCTAGTCTCCCCCAGTAGCACTTGGCAAACAAGCATCTTTGTTCACATCAGCCACCTTAGCCTGTAGTGGAGGTCACAGTGTGTTTTCTACAGTTTCCTTCCTGCTGTCTCCACAGCTGCAAGGCCTCATCTCTGACATGAGAGCTCCACGAACTTCTCAGCCCTTTCCCAGAGAGAGACACACCGTCTTGTCCTGGGCCTCAGAGATACTGAGGGGCCAGTTAGTCCACAGGTCACATGCCTCTACTTTGCCTTTGGGCCCTCTGCCACCCAAGTTCTCCTGCAGCAGCCAAACATCAGGGTTCCAGGGCCTGCATCTCACTTCCTGTCCTCTGCTCTGTGTCCTCAGCTTTGGGCAGAGGGCACAGCACCACTGGCAAAGCAGATGCTTTTACTCAGCACGCACACCTGCTGTACCCAAGGCAGCTCTGGGCAGGGGCTGCAGCTTTGATATCTTCCAGACATCAAGAGGCCATGAGCTCTCCATCCAAACAAAGGTTCCCGGTTGGCAGGTGGGCCTAGCTTACTGTCTGTTTCAGAGACTACGAGCTTAGGGCAGTCTCCAGGTCCAGTAGTGCTCACAGCCTTGCTCACAGCCCTAGTTGAGTCTTTTCCTGGAACTCTCCTTTCCCCCAGGAGTGGCTCCAGCAAAGGACCCGTGTGTTGAAGCTGAAGATGGCCTGCCACACTTTGCTTTGCCACTCTGACTCCCACTTCTGCTCTACTTTAGTCTATGATGTGACCATAGACAGAAGTTGCATGGCTACAACCCATCTCTCTGTGTCCTAGAGACCGGAAATAGGGACTGACCAGAGATCAGGAAGAGTAGTAAAAATCAGGATGTGGGATTCGCAACGGTCAAAATGAGCCTTGTGCTGAAAGACCTGTACCATGACAAGATACAGAACCAAAGCAGTTCTTATCAGGTCTCCCTTTCAGAATGACTTGTGTCATCCTGTCACATCCCCCAGATTTAGTACAAAGCCTGTGAAATACAACTCTTGTATGAAGATAGCCATCACTCCTGAATGTGTGCTCTTATTTCGAAGATTTGTTTTAAAATTTTTTACTTATGCGTGTTTGCATGAATATGTGTATGGAATATTAATCGTATGCATGTAGGTGTCTGTGGCGTCCAGGAGAAGGCATTAGATTTCCAGTTGTGAGTTGCTTGACATGGGTGCTGGGAACCGAACTTCGGGGCCTCTGTAAGACCAACAAATGTGCTTAATGGCTGAGCCATTTCTCCAGCCCCATGTTTGATATGTTTGCTAATAAAACCTTCTTCCAGTTCATATCTTGTCTATTTGAATTCTTTTTGTCTGATACAAGAACATGGAAACAATGGATGTCTTCTGTCTCTAAGATCTGCCTAGCCTTCATCACTGGCAGCATCACCTGTCAGGGAGTCTGGCAGGGGTTTCCAGGGACCTGAGGGCTCTGTCCACATTGCTGCTGCTGAGACCTAGGGCCTCCTTTCTTCCGTGCTGGCTAGTTAGCTCAGTCCTGCATAGAGAACACCAGGCAGCCTAAGGGCCCTCCTTCCTACTCTTGTCACCTTCTTCTGGATGCTCTATCTTCATATTACCAGGGTCTCACACTATGAGATTATCTGATGATCTCCAAATCTCCTCCAACCCTGCCCTCACCCTCTTTGTCAAGAAGTCATAACTCATATGAATTTTCACTCAGTCCTCGAAGAGAATTATGTTGGTTGCTGGGGATTGAACAATTATGGTGAGAGATTCATTTGTATTATTGGCTGCTGCTGTGTGCCCAGGGCCCAGCATGTCTCATGTTGGTCCCTGCAGCTCATGGACTACTTGGGGAGGGAGGGACTCCATGTGTGGTGGCCATAGGTCAGACCTTAGACCTGGGCAGCAGTGAAAACAACACACCAGATGGGTTTTGGATGTTGCTGACTTCCAGTGAGCAAGCACACTGTCCCCAGGGGTATAACTAGTTCCAGGACTCTGGTGGTACCTCAGGGTCCCCTCTTCCTCCTCTGTTATAGCCTCAGATCTCCTTACCCATGAGGCTGTTCTCTGTCTCTCAGTCTACTTTTACCTATCACTATACATAGGGCAGTCCTGTGTCCTATGTATACATCTGACTATAGGCAGCTACCAGAAGAATCCTTACCTATTGATCTGTATCAGCTAATGTCATCAAACTCATGAGTGGGACAAACTTGGGTATTAAAACACTCGTTATAAATAGATCTGTGCTCTTCTTTATGCCATGGAGCCATCATTTTGACTCACCCCACGCTTCAACATCTGGAGAAGTCTCGGAGGATTGAAATGCAGGTCCTCAGCCCATATTGCACCACCATTTAATACATTAGCCTATCCCCTCTCCTACACCTGCAGCCACAGTCAGGCCCCACACGGGGTTACTCTATAAGCAGTGTACATGCCCATCCTGTGCTACACATATCCTTCATTATATCTATTCTTTACAACGAAGAACTGTGTCTCCTGCAGGTGTCAATGGTGGCAGACTCATCTGATGGAGGGAGGCTTTTTTCTCAATTCCTGCCCTGCCCCCAGAGAAGGACACTCAATCGGCTCTTCCACTCTTTCTATTCAGGAAGAAGTGATTCAGTTGGAAGTCTCTGGGAGAGGACAAAGCTTGTGTTCTTTTCTGGTAACTGCCCACTCACAAGAAGATGTTTCCTCTGGGCTAGTCTAGTCTGGGTTCTGCAGGGTCATGCCTAGGGTGGGGCAAGGGAGCTGTGGGATGCTGAGCCGCAGTGCAGGACTAGATACTTGGGATATCCTAAGGCTTGGGACACAGTAGGAACCCTACCTAGCCAGCAGCCACCAACCCCAGCAGAAGAATCTTTGTTCTCACCTCCCCCAAGTGGAAGCATCCATCTGCACCCAGCTCCCCAGTTAGGTTCTGAGCCCAGGAAGGGGTTTGTGGGGTTATATTTACCATCAAAGGAAAGGGTATCTATGGTCCCAGGAGGTAGTGGCTTATCCTCATGCATCTTAGGAACCTTTTTTTCTTTCCCTCGGACTTCTTTGATGGAGAACATAGAAAAAAACAGGGAAGTGTTTTCCTGTTACAGACTCATGACCGTTTTTATCCCGAGCCCTAGTTTACAACATTAAGCTGGAAGGATGGCACAGTGTCCAAGTTCTACTTGAACGGTGTGTTGGAAAGTTAATCTTTAAATAGTCAGGTATCATCCAACCACCTTGAGCTTGGTGGTTTGGGACTGGGCAGTTATAGGACAAACAAACCCTTAAAATCTAGTTATTTCTGAACTAAAACCTCCCGGGAAGTGTTGAGCGCTCCTGCCTCTGAATGCACCTCCCCAAAGCCTCTCCTTGCCACTGTCTGGTCACTTCTTCCTTCACACCCTGTTATGCCCATCTGCCCACACAGTCTCACAGTGTGGAGCTGTGCTTTGTCTTGGTCCCTGCCCCCCTTGTCCTTGGGCATGCTGTATGCTGGACCTTGGTTTTATTTCAATCATATGGGGTAACAGAAGTGCTTCCCTTAGAAGCCATAGGTGAGCACAAGCAGATGGTGTGTGTTAAACTACTGATATGGCTCATCTGAAAGGCAGTGTTCCTGCGGTGGCTGAACCCTACTCACATTCAGGGCCTAAGAAGATGCATAAATGTAACTCAGAGGTCACCCCAGAGTGAAGCAAGCCGCCTTCTGCCTTGGCAGTGGTCCCTTCACCATAACAGTGGCCTTGGACTATGGTTTCTCTCGTGTCCACTTGCTCCTGCCCAGATTCAGCTGGATCTAGTGAGTGCTCATGAACTAGGGTCCTATGTTCAACACCATGGGTCTAAAACTACTTGTAGTTGTGGGGGGTAAAAAGGTTATACTTGCTTTTATCCTTCGTTGATTTTGATTCTAAGGTTGTTGATGGGTTTTGAATTTGAAAATATGATGATTTCCCTGGCTCCAAAATCTCCCGGGATAGAATTTCATCTTGGGAAAAGCACACAAGAACATGTTATAGAGCTAATGATGCAGTACAGATATTCTATGAAGAATTGAACATTAGGCAGCCTGTCAACACTGTGACTAGAAAATTCAAGGAACTTGTGGACAGTGGCCTTTGCTCTGGAGAACTCATCTAGGGAGGCTATCCATACTGCCACCTCCCAAGATTCAGAAAGACTGAGATTATATGAGTATCTCTCAGCACCCCTAAATCCAGATGTTGACGGTCCCTCAATGTCCATGTCTTCAAAGGCTTGAGCCTCAGTGGAACTACAGGGAGTGACGGAACCTCCTTAAAAGTGGAGCCTAGAGGGAGGTCTTTAGGTCATTGGGTGTATCTACAAGGGAGGTGGTGGGATCCTGGTCCCCTTTGTCTCTTTTGCTCCTTGGTCATGAAGTAAATGTTTTCTACCACCACACACTTGCACCATGAAGTGTGACTTGTTGCTCAAAGCAACAGAGCCAACCAAAAAAGGACTAGAACCCCAAAACTGACCCAAATAAATCTCTGTTTATAAGTGGTTATTTCTAGCATTTTGTCCATTGTGAGAGAAATCTAATACACTCTTCAAAGACACAGTGCCAAAACCCGGTCCTGGCCCTGGTCATGATTCACTTTCTGTTCTATGACCATTCTGTCCTGATTGCCCTCAAGTGCCAACAGAATAACTTTATTTTTTTCTGCACATGTCCAGCCTTTCTTTGGTGTAGTGTCACTCTAGCTGTCCTGGAATTCTCTATGTAGTCCATTCTGGCCTTGATCTCGGAGATCTGCCTGCCTCTGCCTCCTGAGTGCTGGACTTTATATCTAACCAATTCTGGCTCCTATTCTGGCTCATTTCTCACTCAGATAGGAGCAAGGATGAGTTTCTTTGTGTTGCTAGATTTCAGTGAACTTCCGTAAAATGAAGTACTTGTTTATCTCATGGCTTTTATGAAGCCAACAGCACCCAGCATAGTGTGGGGGTTATTGTGGGCACTAAATAAACAACAGCTGGAAATTGCTTCTGTTTCTGCAACACTGTCCCTGACCTGGGACAGTGATGGGAAGCTATCTGAAGCTTGTGTGTGATCCACTCATCGTGGAGTCAGAAGATGAGGCCTCCTGCTGGGTGGGAGCCAGGTCTTCTGTATGTAACCTAGGAGTAGCTTAGGAGGGTAGACAGGGTAGCATAGGTGAGCATTGCCTGGGAACATTCATTCACTCATTCATGTGACCACTTCATCAGCTGGTGAATCCATGATGATTCCCCATCCCCAGTCCAGACTCAAATGAGCAGAGATGACCTTCCTGGAGAGGTCTCTCTTGGGAGGGGCCCTGTCACCTGGCAGCATCTACATTCCCATCAGAACCTTTCTGATGAAGCTCAGCTCTGAGAGCTGCCTCGTAGCCATATCCTGTGCTCCCTTAGTTTACTCTTGATCCCATTTGACAGGTGATCATGGACAGACAAATGCCCAGGAGGTGACCCCTTTCCCTCAGTGTCCCAGGCTGTTAAGATACAAGTGACAACTCTGCTCAGATGGACTCTCCAGGCCTCAGTTTACCAAGTGTAAAGTGAGGGGTGGTACCAAGTGGTGAGCACAGTTCTCAGAATAGACCTGGGCATATGGACACAGAAGGGAATGTAGCTGGTTCAGACAGAATTTGCTTCTGGGTGTGAAGTACACACTGGACTTCATAGACTCTGTGCTGAAGACTGAATACCCCACCAACCACTTGGCCTTGTTTCCATGCTGAAGTGGTTCACAAGATGGATCATGCTACAACTGCAGCTTGTACTCTGCCTCTGAGGGACAATGTGGGTCAGACCAATGGTCCTCAACTTGCTGTGCCCTGAGCCTTTACTGCAGAGTTGTAAGAAACCCCGAGGTACCATGTCCAGGCAAGGGCACAGAGGCTGAGAACCTGGGTAGTGGCCAGGTCCTCAACACCTTCCTGGGGACTGAGGAGCCTGAGGAGCTGTTCCTTGGTCTCGGATCTCTCAGTTGCACACACACTGCATCAATGTATCCATCTAAATGTGTATTCTGATGTGGAAGGCATGAGCAGGGTGTTTGAAACAAGTCCGTGGGTGACAGACTACTGCTGTCTGGACACCACTTTGAGAGGCAAAGCTCCATGTGTGTTTGGTTCTGACAGCCATTTTGACTTCAGTAATTTAGTCAGCACTAATGCCGTGGCTTCAATCTCAAACCAAATTACTTCCTGTGACTGACACCAGGTGTCTGGGAAAGGCCTGCTGAGCACCCACCCGCCCTCACCAGGAGCCAGGTATTCCACCTGGGGAGTCCTTACCAAACACTGAAGCTATATCATCATCCAGAATTTTTAAACTTGGCTGTTGTTCAGTTTTTGAACCTGGTAGGGAAATAAGAAAAACAGCCTTATAGTTTTACAGCGTTCATTGGCTTTTACCTACCTCTCTGTGAACGGGTAGTTGTGAGGGATGGATGGCCCCAGCCTGCTCTAGAGGAAGGAGCCTGTGTGGAGTGCTGCTCTCTCCCAGGTGTGCTGAGGGAAAGGCATTACCCGTGGGACCTCTGTGTAGGTGGAATCTATGATTTCCCCAGGTGTCCTGAGAAGAACCTGCCCTCCTGGTCACTGGAGTCATCCTCGTGGATGGTAAGACAGTGTCCACACTCAGGGACAACTCAGCTCTATCACAGGGGCAAAGAAGGAAGAGGGTCACATGCTTTGTTTTGTAGGAAGCAGTGCTTTGCCTCCTGCATGACTGGTGATACCATCTGGGTGGCCACCAGGCAGGGAAACTCCAGCCTGAGATCCCACAGCAGTCTGGAGCCCACAGTTAGAAGAAACATTTGCCCAGCCTTTGACTAAGGCTTTCCATGTCGCCAGCCAAACACTTGCTTTGTCCTGTGACAAGAAAACACCTCCTAAGTGTTTTTCTCTGAGCCCCTGGGTGACCCTGCACACTCACTGGTGCTGAGTTTCTCTCAGGGGGAGTGGAGGGCCAGAGGCAGGTCATTCCTCCTGCATGAGGAGAGCCCTCCAGGGTGGTCTGTCTGCTGGTAAGAAGTGGAGTCTCTGATGAGTGAGCTGAAGAGATCTGGATGGCAGTTGTCTCCAGAGTCCAGGGCTGTCATATCTGTGATGTCTGCTTCCTGATGGACAGGAAGAGCTATGCTGGGCGTATAAGGTCTAGCTATATCTGGACACTATGGGAATTCTGAAGACCAGTTTCTCCTCTGTGGCATCCAGGACACACTTCCTCCTTCTGACATGACCTTTGCTTATCTCAGGGGCTGTGGTATCTCTTCATCTGGCACATCCCTTAGTTTGAGCTCAGGGGTGGCCTCTTCTTCCAGCTCCCAGGTCCTGGGACTGCCAAAGATGGAAAGTAGGGCCACCATACCTTCCCTTTCTGAGGCACAGAGCTCTGTCTGGGATAACTAAAGTTGCAGCTAAACCAATGACAAAGCTGTTCTCAAAGGCTTTAATGATGGACAATCTGCATCTCAATGTGCTCATCTGCACAGCTCAGAACAATGGGAAATATGTAAGGAGGTCTGTGATGGTGATGACAATTGCTTCCCAGTGTGCTGACCTTGGTAAATGAAGCAAATACAGTATAGTTCTCTTTGCATGAGACATTAATGGAACATTACGAATGGGTACAGCTGCGCAGCGCCAGCACTTTGTTAAAAATATTCTTTTCATCTTGTGTCTGTCCCGTAATCACAATGGAAGCATTGTGCAAGTCAGCCGTGTGCACATGCGTGGTGTGTATGCTCATGTTGTCCATGCCTGTTCACGTGCATTGTCAGATGTAGCTGCTCTACCGCACATTTCCTGTTGTCACCTCCTCCTGAAAGTCGCAGCTTCCAGACAGCACACACCCACAAGGTCAGAGGCACTCAGATGCCTTATCATTGTCCACATCAGCACATTCTAGCTTCATGAAGTTTACTGTTGCTTTCTGAGTTCGCTCCAGTTAGTTTAGTGAACACGAGTTGGAACCCTTCTTTATCACAAGGATCACATCAGCTGCTATCCTTCTCCTAAGTGGATAGCATCTTCCTGTGAGGAAACCACACACACTTGCAGTCACAACTCTTCTCCTGGCAAGCAGTAGGAGCACCCCAAGATGGGGGTGAGGATAACTGTGGTACTCTCAGGGCAATAGAGAAATTTTTCCTTTCACTGGCCTCTGAGGAAGACCTTGGGGAAGGAGATCACACAGGGCTATGGCCAGGTCTCAAGCTTGGAAGATCTTGGGGATCATGGAGGGCTATGGCCAGGTCTTAAGCTAGGGAGACTTGAGAGTCATACATGGTTATGGCTAGATTTCTTGTGAGGTTTGTTTTTCTTTTGTCTGTCTGTCTGTCTGTCTGTCTGTCTGTCTGTCTGTCTATTTTTGTACAGGGTCTCTCTACAAAACTTTGGCTGCCCTGGAACTTGCTTTGGTCTTAAACTCAGAGATCTGCCTGCCTTGGTCTCTGGAGTATTGGAATTAAAGGTATGTGCCACTACACACAGCCTAGATCTTGTGGTAACCATTCTACAACTGATGATATCATGAGGGTTCCCAGGGGTTCAGTTCAGTTTCAAGCTAGAGAAGACTGTGAATGCCATCCCAGTTTTGACCAGGTCTTAGGAGAAAAATGACTGGATAGCATTGAGAGCAAATACCTTAATGAACACTGTTCAGCAATTCTCAAACACAGTCAAGAATTGTGCACAGGAGTAGATAAGTGAGACTGGTAGAGACACTTGTGAGGACCAGCATCCTATAACCAGTCTGGGTCCTCTGACACCCACTGAGATGGAATACTTTAGTATATAAATGACCCTGACTATGTTTATGAAAGAGGAAGGCCAGCCATACATTGGTAGATTCTTTAACTTAAAGACTAGGGGAGATAAAAGCCCACTCAACATCAACTAAGTATGTGTAAATGTAGGAGAGCTGAAGTCCCACTCATACACATTCACATCACAGCAATAGCAGGAATTAACAGTGCAAAGACTTCAAACCTGAACCTCTAAAAGACCTCACTGTAGATAGATCTCGTGTCCTGTTAGCTCATACGCTGTAGGTAAGTCCACAGGAGTAGCCACCACAGGTGGCACATATCATATTTCCAGCTGCTGGCATTATACTTTCCTGAACTATTGGAGGGTCGTGCTCTTGTGAGACTAACCAAGAAGTAAATAATGTACTGTGTCAAACCCACTCATCACCGCCAAAGAGTCCACGTGGAAATGAGACTGTGAAGTCCAGTAGAGGTTCAAGTGAAAGGCGTACAACAAACTTAATATTCCAAAATACATAAAACACGGGCTCACCCTGGTGACTTGCACAGGATTAAGCTAGCCAAAATTCCAGCATGGATAGGAAAAGTCCTGAGTCCCAGAAGCGATGGCTGCTGAGAGAGGAGAGTCACTCTCTCCTTAGGATGCGGCCACTAGTAGGTTGCTCATGCCCAGTAGCTGACTACATATCATGTGTATATGAGAAACACCAATTGGACTTGGGGTTATGTGGGGGGGGTCACTCTATGGAGTTGGAAGGAAGTAGTGGTAGATGAATATGGTCAATTAACACTGTAAAGTATGTATGGAACTTTCGAAGATTAAAAAATATTATTAAAAAAAACCAGGCTGCTCACTAAGAAGGGTGGTGCATAACAGTGGAACAAATATCCATCCCAACAGATGCACAGATGTCAACACAGAAGCACAAATTACATAAGAACATAGGGTGCCATGACTCTTCCAAAGTTTATGACTCTCCAGTGACTAGCTCGAAAGATATCTAAGTGATGACATGACAAACTAATGATTTCTAAATTCAAATAAATGGCTGAACAAATTACAGAAGACAACATTGGACAGAGGTAGGCTGATCTCTGTATGTTAGTGGCCAGCCTGGTCTACATAGCAAGCTTTAGGCCAGCCAGGGCTACATAGTAAGACCCTGTCTCAACAAAACAAACAAAAATGCCTTAGTCATTGTTCTATTGCTGTGAAGAGACACCATGACTAAGACAACCCTTACAAAAGAAAGCATTTAATTGGGTGCTTGTTTCCAGTTTCAGAGGCTTAGTCCATTATCATCTTTGTAGGGAACATGGTTGCAGGCATGGCAGACATGGTGTTGGAGAAGTAGTTGAGTGCTGCATTCTGATCTGCAGGCAGAGAGAAAGAACAACACTGGGCCTGGCTTGGGCTTTTGAAACCTCAAAGACCACCCCTTGTGACACACTTTCTCTAACAAGGCCACACCTTACTCTAGGGCCTCAGTAATCCTTCTCAAATAGTGCCACTCCCTGATGACTAAGCATTCAAATATATGAGCCTGCAGGGCCCATTCTTATTCAAACCACTACACCCCCCCCCAAAAAAAAAATCCAAAAGCAAAGTCAATCATTTAAAAGGAAATGATGGGTGCAAAGTAATTGACTGGAAGCCTATTCAGTAATAAAATAACAGATACTCCATACACACAAAGTCCTGGTGAAAATATGGACACACAGGCAAAAATTGCATTTAGAGCCCTAAGTAGACTTGACCAAAATAGGTCTACCCCTGATTACAGTTAAACTGCCATGAGTAAAGAGCGAAGAAAGTAATACTGGGAGTGAAGATTGTTGGCTAGAGGGATTGATGAAATCTGGGGATCTCTCCCTTCCCAGTGCAAGTGACCTGAGCCACAGTGGAAGACAACCTCAGAAATGAGCACTGTGCTCTCAGTGACAGGCTAGGACCCTGTCTCCTAGGTGATTTTAGATCCTCTTAGGTTGACAATCAGTGGTAACCATTACACCTTCCAGGAATGACTGGCTGTTAATAGTCTCCATTCTCCAATCCAGAGACACAGCTCAGAAGTTTGTACTAAAAAGCAGGATTTACCTTAGGTATTGCCTCCAAGAAACACATCTATCAAAGACAGATATAACCTTAGTATGATGAATCATCAAAGAAATCCAGAAGGAAAAAATAAATCCTAGAATTGAGTGTGAATTAGAATCTCCTGAAACCTATGGTATATAATAAGAGCAGTTCTATGAGGAAACATTAAGGCCAATTAGATGGCTTTGCAGGCAAAGACACTTGCTGCCAAGCCTGATGAGGAGAGCACTGTGTCCCGGCAACCTGCCCTCTAACCTCTGTACACACACTGTGGCACATGCATGCACATACACACTAATAACAAATACATGTTATTTTAAAAGAGGAGCTTTATGTAAGTGCCTATGTTAAAAATTAGAGCTCAGATAAATAATTCAATGATTAATTGTAGGTCTTGGAAAAGCAAGACCAAGCTGGATCCAAAATTAGTAGGCAAAAAGGAATAATCAAGATCAAAATAGAAGAGATTGATAGAAATGAAGAAACAAAATAATAAAAAAGTTTGTTCTTTGAAAAGTAAGATTAGCAACCCCTTTGCCAAATTTACCAAAGGAAATGAAGACCTAAATACATAAAATTAGAGATTAAAAGGTAGGCATTTTAACAGATAACAGTGAGAGTCAGAAAGTCAGGGGAAATGTAAATAGATGGAAAAAAAGCAATGGGATTGAAGAAGTGATAATAATAGTAAAAAATCCCAATTAGGAAAACCCCCAGCCCAGACTGATTTGCTGCTGACTTCTACTAAACCTTAAAAAAGAATGCTTAGAGAAACAAGGGCAGTGGAGTCCTGGTTCTGAGGTTTTAGAGGGAGACACAGATTCTGCCAGCTAAGAACCTTCAAAATAGGTCTTGATAAAGAATGTTTGCATTCTGCCTTGAGAATGAGTGAGGGTCATTGTAAAATCTTTAGGGGAATAGTTCTAGTCTGTGTTTTAACTTTCATTAACTTGCAGAAATATTCTAACTTACCTGAAAGTAAAGGAAGGATGACAGGAACCTCAGGATATGGGAAGGAATCAGTAACGTGCCTGCTGTGCATTCATGAGGACCTGAGTTTATATCCCTAGCACCCACATAACATCTGGGCATGGTGGTGCACATCTGTAACCCCAGGCCTGGAGGACAGGGACAGGTGAATCCCCAGAGGTCGCTGCCCAGATAGTTTAACCAGTCACTAATCTCTGAGTCCAGTGATAACTCAAAATATATAGTGGCGATCAATAGATGACAGTGTCACCCTCCAAGTCTCCTTGTGCATGTGCACACTTATGCACATATGGCTTCATGGATGTGTGTGCCATGTTAAAAGAAATTCCAGAGAACAAGCTTAAATAAACTAGCAAAATGTTCACAGTCATTTAAATTCAAGAACATCAACCCATCCTGAGATTCCTATCATCCTTCCTTTACTTTTAGGTAAGTTAGAATATTTCTGCAGGTTAATGAAAGTTAAAACACAGAATAGGACTATTCTCCCATAGATTTGCAGAATTTCAAAGGTTTCATAGAGAATTGGTTCAGTGGTAAATTTGCATAGGCAGGAAGAATACCTTAGTCCATTTGTGCTCTATAACAAAAGACCCAATGTCGTGCCATTACAAAGAATATAAATTTATTCCTCACACTTAGGCAGGTGTGGTGCTTACTGAGGGCTACTCCTGGCTCGAGAACAGTGCTCCAATGATGCATGTTCTTGGCAAACCAGTAACGTGCTATAGAGACCTTTCTGACAGAGGCCTCAATCAAGTCGCTAGGGAGAGCCCCCATAGCTCCATTATCATGAAGATCCCAGCGTTTACTACTGTCATTTCAACACCTGGGATGTAAAGGGGACGCTTTCAAACAATCACAGAGGAACAAACACATTACCTGCCTGATTCATGCCTATGGTTTTCTATCTGCCAGTCTCCTGGGGACTCTACCTGAAAGCTCTCTATTCGGCCAGGGCTGCACGTCTTGCCAGCAGCACAGCAGGAAGAAAGATACGAAGGTCCCCGCTCCTCTGTTCGCTGCCATGGTCCCTCCAGCAGAAGGAGGAGGCCCTTCCCTGGAAGGTCTTCAGCTTCCCCAGCCTCGGTCTCCTGGATACATAGAATGTCTCGGACCTATGACATCACCACCAGGAAGTGATCTGGGTTCCTTTTCCTTGTGGGTAGGACTGCACTTGTCTGCTTTTCAGGAGAAGACATAGAAGGGAGTGGCCCACAACTGAGAGTGTCTCTACTTCTTTCCACTGCCTGTACTGTGTCTAGCTCAGTCCTCAGACCTTTAAGAACCAGAGAGGTAAGGTATCAATCAATCTTAATGTGAAGCTCAGACCCCAGCATATCTTCTTCCATGAATGGATGTGCTGCAAGGATGCCAGATGACTTGATGACTTGATAACTTACAGGATGTCTGCGAGGACAAGCAGATCCAGACAGTCCTTGAAGAACATGGCCTATGGCTGTGCACTTCAGGGTCCTGAAGCATGGAGTTCGGGGACTAAAGGTCCTAGGAGCTCGAGCCCCTCCCTTTCTTCTTTCTTTGTATAAGCTCCAGTTGCATTCCCTGAAATGTCGTCACAAGACAGAGCATATGGCCACATTCTCAGTCATCTTCCTCAGTTCTTTTTTTCTATCAGTACTGCACAAAGTCCCCCCCCCCCCAACAGTACTTCTGATTGGCTCATCTGTGCCCCATACTTTCCCTGGACAAATCCAGTGTCCAAAAAGGGCACACAGAACGCATCAGGTTCCAGGCATCAGTTGATGGATCTTAACCATAGCTTCAGACCTAGTGGGACATGAAGTAATCCTGGATGCAAGACCAACAGTACCTCTGTGACCCAGAGGACCCACTGTGCTGTGACCCCCAGGGTTCTTGGGACATTTGCTATTTATTGCTCATATTGGGACCTGAAAACACTTTCCCGTATCAATATTCTTCCTCTCCCAAATATCCCTTTAATTCAATGTCAGTTTGCTGTAGTTTGGCCTCATGGACATTGTCATCCAGGAAGTCTTCACATGTGAGTGTGTAGGCTGGTTGTTTCATCATCTAACAGGCAGTTCGTTGGGAATGATACTCTTGGACCAGGTTTTCCTTTAAATTAAAAATGTTTTGTTCATAGAGGAGATTTAGGTTATTAAAAAAATTGGCAGCTTCTGTTACCTTTTCATGATCTTTAGGAAAATGTGAAACATTGCTGAAGAAGGCTGAAGCTGTTTGGTGGCATTGTTCTCACCTTCTTTATCTTGAAGTTCAATGGTTTAATTGGGTTTTAACTTGGTATTTTTCCTCATAAGTTTGCCTATGAATGGTATATGTATGACCCAAGAAGTCAGAGCACATTGTAGTCCCAGACACTTTTCTTACCCGTGTCTTTGTAGGGACTGTCAGTGGTGTCTGCTTAGTTCTTGACCCAAGGACTTTGGTCTGGAGGTTTCTTGGTCTTCATTGTTTATCAACCTTTCTCTGATGAATCATTCTTGTGGTTTTGTACAGGCAAGCCACTCATTTTCCAGGAACAGCTAATTTGTCTATTGTTTTTTGCTAGCTTTGTAAGGCCCTTGTTTTGGTTAATCAGTGTGTTAGTCCATTTTTTTTTCATTGTATAATTAAATACTTGAGGCAGGACAACTTTACAAAGAGATGAGATTTAGCTTCCAGTTTTAGATATTGTAAGTCCTATCAGGCTCCTGTGTAGGGGTATGGCAGATGCAGGAGAGGAAGGCCACACCCTGGAACAAGAAGTAAAGGTGGCACAGGCTTTTCTAACCATCTTCTGAGGACAGATGTTAAGTATCAGAGGAAACAACTGTCCCATGATCCAGTGAGTTCCCCCCCCCCCAGATCACTCCTCTGAAGGTTTCATAGTCTGTCAGCACACCATCATATAAACCAGCTTCAAGCACAGCCACTCCATAGCAGTTACACTCTACAACTCTATTTTGGCATTATGTGTGTATCCTGAGAGGGACAGAGCTCCATGTTGGCTGTAAATGTCCACGTAATAAAATCCAAGGCATGGCATCTCCCTTTAACTCTACCAGCTATTAAGTGAGGAGGCTCAGTTATAAGCTTGACTAGGTAAGCGGCAACACCTTGAGCAAGGGGGGGCTGTAGTCGTCTATGACTGCATCATCTCAGCTGTTTTGGATGTAGGATCAGTTGGGCCACTGCTTCAGGGGGTCTTGCTTGATCAAACCATATTAGTCTGGAAGGAATCCATAGCTTTCCATTTTCTGTGGAAACACAAGCAAAAACTCCTTTCCCAAGTAATCTGTCCTTATATTCAAACATAGAAGTCAAAGCATTTCTAAAATATATATGCTGGATTAATTTAGCAGCATTGATAATCAAATGTCTTTTAGCAGATGTTGCTCTTTCCTCAGCAATCAAACAATTTAAAGACAACAATATAGCATATAGTATCCAGACTCTGTGTACTTTCCATCTTTACATAGCTTTTTTTTTTTTTACTCTATTTCTTTTACTTTTATTTTTTCCTTTTATGAGACAGGGTTTCTCTGCGTAACTTTGGCTGCCCTTGAATTCACTCTGTACACCAGGCTGGCCTTCAAGTCACAGAGATCTGCTTGCCTCTGCCTCCCAAGTGCTGGGACTAAAGGAGTGAGCCACTACCGCCTGGCTTCTCTTCCTTCCTTCCTTTCAATTACTTTATCCTGTTTATTTTCTCTCACAAGCCCACGTATATTTTTAAACACACTGTAAACCTTAGAGGTTTTTCTTCGTCTGAATCTGTCTTTACTGTAAATCTTTACCTTTTTTTTTTTTTTTCTGGCCATGCAGTCTTTTATCTGCTAAACAACATTGCTAAAATTGATTGAAATGGTGGCTGCTTTAGCTGCTGTCTTTCCAAGATTTGGGGGTGGGTATGTTTACCGCCAGCACTGAGACTTGTGCTCATTGCTTTGGTCTATGCTGCTATCAAAGAGCATGCTGCCGCCTTGGAGATGTGGTCACTGCCACTGCCAGCTGCTCATACACACCCTGCAGTTTTTTTCTGCACTTATGCTGAGTCAGGAAACCTCTCTTAAAGGAACCGGGACCCTCTGCTTGTCTCTGGCAGAGACCACCCGAGAAAATGCTGCTACCAAGAAGTCTCTGTTTTTTTGCTTCTAAAATCCCTTTTTAAGCCTTTGTGAAGTTTTTATGTGGAAGTTCATAAAACCACGTCCTGACACCATTTTGTTATGATAAAACTTTCAACCAAGCCGCCCGAGCCCTGCCGCCACGTGGGCACCCGAAATAACACACAGAGACTTATATTAGGTACAATGCTGTTGGCCAATGACTAAGGGTTTCTTATCTGCTAACTCTGTCTTAAATATCAATCATAATTACTAATCTATATATTTTATAAAGATTTATCTGATTGAGGATGCTGGCAGTGTGCATCCTCATGTGACGGCTCCCAGAGAAGAGAGGAAAAGGAAGAGGAAGAGAGCGATTTCCTGCTTGTCCCTGCTTATATTCTGAGTCAGCTGCTACGTCATGTCCTACCTGGATCACAAGACTACTCTTTACTACATTTCCCAGAATCCTCCTCGACTCCTAGTCCCACCTAACTGCTTTCCTATTGGCCAACAGTACTTTATTCAACAACCAATAAGATAAACATGCACAGAAGGACTTTCCCCATCATCTTCCCCATCAGGGGGCTCACTCAAACAAACCTGTGCTGGTGTTGAAGAAATTCAATTTGACTTTGCCAAGTTCTGGTTTTTTTTTTTTTTTTTTTTTTTTTTTTTTTTTTTTGCGGGGGGGGGGTTTTTTTTTTTTTTTTTTTTTGGCGTGGGGGGGGTTGTTTGTTTTGTTTTGTTTTGTTTTGTTGGTTTTTTTTTTTTTTTTTTTGGTTTTTCGAGACAGGGTTTCCCTGTGGCTTTGGAGGCTGTCCTGGAACTAGCTCTTGTAGACCAGGCTTGTCTCGAACTCACAGAGATCCACCTGCCTCTGCCTCCCGAGTACTGGGATTAAAGGCGTGTGCCACCACTCCCAGCTGTGCCACCACCACCAGGCATCAGGTTCTGGTTTTTAATTCATCTCTTTTTGTTGTTGTTAAAGAAGAAAATACTGCCTTTTAATTGTGACTTGACCTGTGTTCAGTGTGTTCCATTTGTCTCTAGAGGGGCAGGAGAGTTGGTAGTTGTGCCTCCATGGAGCCCCTCCTTGGGTGTGAGTGCACTTATAGTAGGGGTGTTTTCCTGCCTCTCACATCTTCTCCTGTCTCTTAGACACACGTGGCTGGAGAGTCTTGGCCCCCTGAGAGCTTCTGCCACACGTCTGCTTTTGCTTCTCTTTGCCCTCCCAGCCATGGGTGCTGTCCTGGCTAGTCTGCTGTCAGCTTGACACAAGCGAGAGTCATTTGCAAAGTGGGAATCCTAACTATGACAAGTTGGTACCAGGACAGTGGGGTATTGCTGTGACAGACCTGACCATGTTATTTCGGGGAGGATTTTGCTAGGACTTTGGAACTTTGGGGGGAAAAAAGGCATTGAGTGTTGAGAGCTCAGTGGGTTGTTCTGTAGGAGCTTGGAAGAGAATGTTGAGAGGAGTGCAGACTATGGAGGCCTGGCTTATGAAGTTTCAGAGAGAAGCAAAGGCTACCAGGCCATCTGTGGGAATAATCTGTGGTATCTTGTCAGCTGGGGCTGAAGAATCAGCTGTGATAAGAAGAAGTCAACATCATTGAGGTGAAATCTTCTGGGAAATGTTTCCTGAGGGTTATCACACAGAAGCCATGTTCCAGACATGGCCAAGGCTGTACCTTATGCTGGCAGCTGAACTTGGTGATGTAAGAGTCAACCAGGTAGTTCTGGTTTTGATGGTGCGAAGGGGTCATGGAGAACAGCTAAGGCGGCATTGTGTGGCAGGGCTCAAGTTCCCAAAGAGAGCCCAGGAAAGGTGGTGAAAGTGCAGCCCTGTTGCAGCAGAAGATCCCAGCATTTGGGAGATTCTAGTACCATGGAATGACTATCCAAACAGCAAGAGTAGTGGAGTGGAGCCAGCTG